CGTGGTTTTTGTATTAGACCCGTCGTCCATTTATTTGTAAGTCAATGTTAATAAACAAAAAATTTAATTCGCTATATTTGCATTTTACCACGATTTTCAGGTTTCTACCCCCAAACAACAAGCTACCCGGCGTGCCAATGGACCAGAACCAAATGAATAGTGGCACTGTGTACGTGCACTGTAAGGCTGGTCGAACACGGAGCGCCACCCTTGTGGGATGTTATCTCATGATGGTAACATCTGGTTTATTATCTAAACGTCTTCGTAATGGTTTTAGGGTTGGGTAAAATACGTGCTACTTTTTTATCGACATCAAAAAGGAGGAGGTTCTCAATTCGAATGTATTGTTATTGTATGTAAGTTACGCGGCATTTGCGAACCGATTTTGATGATTCTTTTTTTTGTTGGAAAGAGGGTACATCAGAATTGATCTCGTTAAAATTTGAACTAAATATTGCACCTCTAAGGGTGGCAAACTAGGGGATGAATACGGTTTCACGCATTTTCCGGTAATCTATTTCAATAAAACTTGGCAAATCGATGTAATTTTTAATTTATTTTTAATTGATATTCATTTATTTTTTATGTGAAATTACTCCACTAGTTTGTTATAATTGTTAATACAAAGATCGAACACTCAGAAAAAATTCCTTCGATCCGGCCGGATTAGAACCGAACGTCTTCTAGCTTACCGTGTGTCGTGTATTTGGTTTTTCAACGACTTTTTAGTCGTAGCGCCATCTATGAGAAATCTATGAAAGATTTATAACCCGACGAAAGTACATAGAAAAATTCGCGAGGTCCACTGGTTCGTTCCGTGGCTTAATTGGTATAGCGTCTGCCAACGGTAAGCTGGAAGACGTCGGTTCGAAGGATTTTTTTCTGAGTGTTCGATCTTTGTATTAATAATTATAACAAATAGATGTAATTCCACGAATTTTTGAGGTCGGATTTTTTTTATATGCCCGGTAGTAAGCGATATTTAGCAGTAGTAGAGCTTGTGAAAGAGTTCGTCCAGGGAAGTACTGCCGCCAAGCAGTTAGCATTAGTGCGTTCCGGTTTTGAAGCGTAAGAGTGCTGCTGAAATTACAAGCACATGGGCATTGCAAATGTTATAGATAGGCATATCGCCTCAAAATTTCTTTGAGTCAGCCTGACGGACCTGTAAAAGGCCCGACACGTTGGTTTATTTAAAACCCATATCTAAAATGTTAAATCATTGAGAGTATATTTGCACTTTTTGAATAAAACTCATTTTGGGCTAATTTTATTGATTAAATTTTTTATTGAATTGATATTCAATTATTTTTTGTGAAATTACTGCACTAGTTTGTTATAATTATTAATACAAAGATCGAACACTCAGAAAAAATTCCTTCGATCCGGTCGGATTCGAACCGACGTCTTCTTGCATACCGTGCCAGACGCTATACCAGCTAAGCCACGGAACGAACCAACGGACCTCACGAACTTCTCTATGTGCTTGCGTCGTGTCTTTGTACTTGGTCTTTCAACGACTTTTTAGTTTTATTTTATTTTATTGATTCAAATGTCAACTTTGCGTGCGATTCGTCAATGTATGTTCACCTTTAAATATTTCGTTCACAGAAACATGGATGGACGCCAAATGAAGCTGCCGAATACATGAGAAGCAAAAGGCCGCACATACTTCTTCACACGAAGCAATGGGAAGCGTTAGATATATTCCATAGAAGGCATTTGTCACATTAGATAGCATAATGGCGTGACCTAATAAATTCTTCATAGAATTCATTAGGTCAATTTCCTGCAGAAGCAAGTGTACATGTAGTTAGCAAAAAAAATATTATGAAGAAGATGATAGTGTAGTGACCAAGGTATAGGGGATGCTTCGGTGGTTTGGTCAAGTAGAAAGAACCGCCCGCTGCCCCGTTAGTTGCCATCGGGTGCTTGTCAACGTCGGATCTGTGACAAATTTTCTCCACCTATTTTTATTTTTTTAATTTTAAGCGCGCAAATTGCGGCACGTGAGCCTAAAACTAGGCTCTTGGTTTAATAAGTCACTCGACTTACCGACTTAGTTTACTAAGTAACTCGACTAACCGACTTAGTTTACCAAGTCACTCGACTAACCGGAAAAGGTAAGCGGATCAAGTTTCTTCGCAGCGTAACGTAACTCGCTCGATGTTACCATAATAATTCGTTTTTGATGAGCCACAAGCATAAAATGCCTTCGATTTCACGCAAACGCCTTATCTACAAGTACACGTAAAAACCAAATAGCTAAATAAGTACATAGCGTCGTTTTAGACTGCATCACACGTCATTGTGATTTCTAAGTAACTTCAGGACAAAAAATTAATTTGTTACAAAAATACAAATAGCCGCCATTAAAAAACATATTTTCATTTAAACGAACTTATCGAAATTATATTTGTCTTGAGCTCCCATCTCCAACTAGTTTTTAACCGACTTCAAAATAGGAGGAGGTTCTCAATTTAACTATATTTTTTTTGTATGTACTTATGTATGGTACTCGATTGCTCCAGAATTTAGGAACCGATTTTGATGATTTTTTTTGTTGAAAAGAACGTATTGGTACCGTTTAAATTTGAAAAAAATATTCCACTTGTAAGGGTGGCAAACTAGGGGATGGAATGAGGTTTCGCGTACTTTCTGTTAACCGATTTCAACAAAACTTGGCCAATAGATATAAGCAAACTTTTGAAATCGGTCTTTTTTCTTATTAAAAAGTTAATCTATTTAGGAAATGAAACTATTTTTCCGAATTTAAATCACGTATATTTGTTTTTTCAAACAAACCGACGTTTCGGGCCCTTTACAGGTCCCATGGTCACCGTTGACTGAGGTGGTAAAGTTATCAACCCGCTACGTCTAATATTAATGCAAAATTATCTCTTTCTATTTATATTAGCTTGTTATAATAAGGAGTATATTGTATTTATATGGAAGGGCATGAATGGGATTCTATATACAGTATTGTAATTTAAAAAAAAATTGGTATCCATTACAGAAACCAGAGAAATCATAATGGAATTTTTATGGTGCTATGAACAAGGAAATAACCATTGTATTATTTATTTTTAGCTTTGAATTATTCCACATATTGTTTGGTACATATATTAGGTTGTTATCATTGACTTACAATTATATGGACGTCGGGTCCGTAAAAAGTGTCCGAACTTACAGGGCGTTAAAATCGTATACCGAGCGTCATTCACGCTTTAGTCTTCGTTTGTTCGACTGTCAGCGAAGCAAGCAAAATTAGACAGTACTGCGATGACATTACAATTTAAATTCAACGTTTTAGCTTTTTCATATTCCTTTACATGTCACTACGTTTAAATAGGTTGACTTGGGACATTTTTTTCGTGGTTTTTGTATTAGACCCGTCGTCCATTTATTTGTAAGTCAATGGTTGTTATTTATTTATTAGCAACACTAACATTATGTTCACAACACATTTTTTTTTATTTGACTTGGGTGTTCTACATTGTAAACACAACAATTACAAGTGTTGACGGCAATTTTAAAACAACAGAATACACTGAGAAATACTATAGGAACATAATTATTTTTAATTTTATTTTGAATGAATCGATATTATGACCAAATATATCTAAATTAGGGCTGCTAACATTTCTCTCGTGCATGTTTTACATATTCTTATAATAGGCGAGGGACATCGGATATTAGTACGACAATAGGGAACATAGTTTTACAAGGTTTTCGGGGATATTTATAGGGAACTGATAAACCAATTTACCATAGAATACTACTACAGTCTATGTTATTGTTTTAAATATTATAAAGAAATATGACATGATGCTACCAAGTTGTTATGAATAAACAATGTCTCAAAATATAACGAATTGATTTTTCGTTTGTTTAAACTGTGTCATTTAAACAATACACAAAATGTTGATGATATTATTAAATAAATTATTTAAACATGAAAATTAACTAATTTTGTTACCCTATATTATATTGCAATAAAACACCACGTTTAGGTTTGATCTGCTTCCGTGGCCGAACGGTTACCATGTCCGGGTTCGATTCCCGGGCCGGAAGAAATATTTGTATGGCCTACATTTATTTCTCGCGAGTTTGGGTGTAATTTGCGGTTGTCTATGTGTGTCCATAGTACACACTCACAGCCCGCACTAGGAATACGCGATACAGGGTATACCTAGTGCGGGGGTAAGAGTATGTGCGTTATTATCAGTTCATAAAAATGGAAGTAAATTAATTTGCTATTTCGCGAACCCGGTAGAGGTTCGTGTAAAAGTTGCTGCGCTTGTGTAGAATATTTTTTCAAGCAGTTAATTTTCCCACTCCCCCTTCGCATAAAATTAATAAAATAAATAACACAAGCGCAATTACAGTCAGAGACACCACCAATCACGCAGCAATTTTACACGATTAATCTTCCACGGGTTCCCAGATTAACAAATTTACTTCCATTATCCAAAAATCCCTCAATACGTGTTTTCTCCACGAGAACCTTTTTTTTCCTTTTTTCGGTGAATGGTGGATTCTGGAAACGGCAGATCCTTTTATGTTAAGGGAAGATAAACAACTTAATAAATATACTAATTAATTTATTTAGTCTAATGAATAAATAAAAATTTACAAAATTCGCACTGATATTTTTATAAGAACTACGGTTATAAATACAAAGAAAGATAATACTATTCAACATCGAAAAATTATCATAACTTAGATTGCGCTTTCTACGTTAAGTACAATAGTATATTGTCATCGAATTTGTGAGCCAGATTTCTGATCCCTTTACCCAGCACTATAATCAATTTCAAAAGATATAAAAAAATATTTAACTAACGAATTAAACGTGTTTTATAACCTTTTTTAGATCAGAAATCCGACAATATTACTAGCTGTTCGTAAAATGTTTAACTGAATAGTTAACTTTGGACCTAGTATTGAACTTTGGTATTATAATTAACTTGCGATCAATGGAATTATTTAGTTAACAACTCAAAAATAAGAGCATAAATTCATGCGCCTGTGACATTTCTCTGTATTTGTCAATGTGGCGCCACCTATTATTGCTAAAGTTAACCATTACAGTGAGCGCCATTACGCAACGTGATGATCCAAATTTAACCAGTCAAGCCTTTTATATTTACTAAGATATCTGACTAAAGAATTAACGTTACAAAAATATTTTAACTGCTGAAGTAATAATAATGTACACCGTTATAACTTTCAAAAGTTATATTTCCTTGGTTTCGTGTAAGCCAAATTACGGCAGCTATTTTAAGCTTAATAGGAAATGCTGGTAATAAACCATCCGAGACCAGTTTCAAAGCGTGACACGCATATGGGACCTACTGGAAACATTCGGGTTTTGGAACATGTTACCTCAACTCGATTAAAATTTTTCCCGTAATAATACGGTTCATTTTGCTTGGATCGAACGGCTGGGATACTAGCTTTATTTCAGAATTTATTTTTTACAAACGAAATCTATTTGGTTCTGCAGGCTTATTTTAATTCAAATCCGAGTCTCGAAATCAGATAGGTTTCCGAGCGAGAAGATAAACCTGATTCTTACTATATCTTTCTAATTTGTGAGTTAAATCAAGTGTTGTTTGGATTTCAAATGTCAACAGTTTCCGATCGGCCAAAAGCAATCAAAATCAAGCTGCAGTTGATATTAAAAAAATCATTGGTAAAGTAGTATACAGCGGTTTTATCCTATCCAGTGTTATCCTAAGTGACCATATTGAAACTAAAGCAATTTTTCTTAGTACCATATATTTGAAACTCACATATATTAAGTATTAGAAAGTGATAATATTCAACAATACACAAGTACTCGCTAAAAGTCCTTGTTAAAATGTCCATTGCAATTTTACTAAATTAAAAACAAACAAAAACATAACAAAATGTAACATAACAAACAGAAACAATACATACAGAAAGTGCTCTTTCTTTAGCCAGAAATCTAAACGCTGACGACTTCATTTTGGACCCCGAAACAATGATAACGTCGACATCGATGTTGTTGTTGCCAATTAATTAAATTATATTTTTTTAAATCGCAATTTGACGAGAGTCCAAATTAAAATTGCCATCCTTGGTGTAATTAGGCCACATCTGCAATGGCAAGTTTAAAGATTCTACGAACGAAATTACTCGACAACCTGTTTCATGTATAGTCTGTCTTTTTATTTGAAGATGGAGTAAAATGACATTTGCAGGGTTGCCAGTTTTCGTAAAATTTTAAATAGTCATGTAGTTGTTGTCGACAATTGTATCGATAGATTGTGAAAGTAGAATGTTACGACGTTCTAATGATTACTCATTGCGTTATTGTATTCTTTATTCTTAATTTGACTTTTGAATTTTGAATTGATCGAAATCAATTTTGAGTCATGCACTGATTATGATTCAAATGAAACGAATTGGACTATTTATTTCATATTAACGTAACCAACATTCAGTCGATAGTGGATATAATATTCATCGACTGCAATCACTAGCTGCTTGAAAGCGGGCAACACTTTTACGCAATTAACTGTCATTTTACTCCATCTTTAAAGATGACAGACTATAGCTGATATTATTTTTACGACAAAAACACTTTTTAACGTGTGGTCACGTGTGGCTTTGTTATACCAGGAGTACGATTTATCATTGTCACATTACGCTTTCACACTTTTGATGCTCCAGAGTTGACGGATAGTGTTAGCGATGCCTATGTCGTGACTGATGATGTAGAATAATCCGCCCAAAGTCGCGATGTGGATGAGATACACTAAAGCAATGGCAATTTTAGGTATAATCTTGCCGAAAATGCTCTCCCGCACGTAGTCTACGGCCACTGCCTCCAGACCCCTGGAATAAAACGGTTTCTTTTCTGAAAAGTTCACCTGAAACCTCTTCAGCAGGTCTTTCGTATGTGGTTACTTAAGAGGCGTTATTAAAATTGGCTAATTTGTTACCGCGTCTGACACCACAATAAGTATAAAAATTACTTTCATTCTTGTTTAGAAATTTAATTAATTTTATTGTTACCTTCTATGAATATTATCTGTAACATTTCAAATAAGGTACTTGAATCCAAGGTGATAAAATAATATTAAAAAAAGCTTATTAATACAAAGATTGAACATACAGAAAAATTTGTGCGACCCGGTGGTAGTACGTGACCGTGCTGCACCGTAGCATTGCTATTACCAACCTTCTCACCGCAGCCGGTATCTTTACAGATGCCTCAATTGACATAAATGTCGCTTATTGATCAAATAACTCCACAATTTTTGTAATAATTATTAATTAATACAAAGATCGAACATAAAAATTTCATCGTCCCACCGGGACCATGTCCTATCTTTGTATTAATTAATAATGATTATTAGAAACTAGTGGAGTTATTAAAAAAAAAAATTCAATTTTAAAAAAAACACTGTTCATACATTTGTCTCTAATATAATAAATATTATCCTTCACTCTTGAATGTTGTAAAGGGATTTGGTATGGGGTTTTATGACCGGCCGCCTGCCTAACGTCAACCCTCCTTGAGAATACTTGGTTTAATTTTGGCCAGAGCCCCTTTCGCTATCCGGCAGGGTGCACCATGTTCATGGATTTGTATGCTATTATATTACAAATCACATAAATAAATAATATTATTATAAAAGTTATTTTCTCCAACGATAGGCGTACAAAAATTCTAAAATTTGAAAGGGGGTCTTGACATAGATGAACTTAATTGAAATCCTCAGTATAAAAATCTGACGCAGTTTCTCATTTGTAAAACAAGAAAAGGCCATATTTATGGGAGCCAAGGTACAAGGTACAGCTAAAAAGGAACTATTGGAAATTAAAGGAATCTAACGCTATCTCCTCTTCATATTTGTCCACATCTTCCAAAAACTATTTGCCATGCCGCCACCGTTGAAGATAAGGTAGAAGAGCCCACCCAGCTGAAGAACCATTAGGATGTAGACTATGGCCATTGCTATCTTTGGAACCACCTCCCCGACGACTAGCACCCTGAGGTACTCAACTACCATGGCTTCCAGACCCCTGGAGGTAAGGGATTAGGTTAGCACTAGTAGTAAGGAAAAGGTCATAAAGTTAGTCAGAAGGCTTCCTACTGGACAAATACGACTACCTAGGAATTGGAGAAATTTTTCTAGGAAGAGTAAAGTCGGAAAAAAAATTATAAATCGGTAAAGAATTCCCGTCACGGTTTTATGTAAATTCCAGTAATCGGAATTGAGGGAGTGAACGTTTTCTTAGTATGGATATGCCCATTTCGTCATCAATGCGAATAAAATTTCTCTCTGAAAATAGATTTTACTAGTAAATAAAATAAGGCTAACTAGGTTTAAGTATATTTTGCCGTGCCCTGAGAGGGCCCATGTGATTCCATAATTTCATGTAACAACTATTTTTGTACCATGTTTAGAATAAACGTCATTACATTTTTTTTTACTGTTTATTTTCTAAACATTCTCAAATAGATGTTGTCTGGTGTTTATTTTTTAAATGGTTAAAGTATTTAAGTACGTTAGCACCTATAGACACAACTATAATATTATTTTTTAAGACACTAATTTGTAACAAATACTTAATAGCAAATAATAATTTGTCGTCAATGTACTCAAATTTCAATAAATAATACGCATATTCAAATATAATCAATTCCGAGAAGTCCCGGGATTTGTAGAATGGAATGTCCACGTTACTCTTTAGTTTTTAGGTAAAATAACTTCCTCAATTCCGGTCACTGGTTATTATACCATTCGACAGAACTGACAGGTTTTTATGAAAGTCAAAATATGCAGGCTGTACACGTAGTGACACAAGATATGCCTCTACCACTACTTCCGTGACAGTTATCGCTAGCGACCGCGTAAATTATACGGCGGTCCTAGCGGTTATATGATACAACATATTGTATACAAGCGTTATACGCAGTTGCTAGCGGTCACTGTCAGTCAGTGTGTACCATGACATTAGTGACCCCCCAGCCGATTTTATTGACCTTTTGGTAAGTACCGAGCACATAAATGCGGAAAAAGTGAAGAAAAGTAATATTTTACCCTGTAAGCCGTCAAATTCATTTTGATATGACGTACTGATCGTGTCATTAGTACTAAAATCTGTTCCAATCTATTGTGCCAGAAAAGTAAACAAACCGGTTTGGTTAAAATTGTAAAGCAATCACTCAATAAATGGAATAAGTAACACTTTCACGTATATTTCGAAGATTTAGACTTCTCATCAGTTCTTCCAACAATATTCATTTGAATAATAATATTTTTATTCCTCATCATAGATAGAAAAGTACATATATTAAAATCTTATTTAAAAAATAATGGTTCACAAGTGAGGTTATTTTTTAAATATAGATGTGTGGATAGTCTATGGTTGAATAGGCAGTTCTACGGAATAACTCATTCGGTTAATTCAATGAAAGTTTTTGTAATCGAAAATTTAATAACAAAAAGGAGGATTTAAAATTTGATTTCGAAAAATTTTAATTTGCTTTTATAGGCTATGTAAGAAAAAAATTCTAATCTCATGTATGAAATATCATCACTTAGTATTGAATCACGTATTTTTGATAGTAATCAGCAGCGAAATCGCAAAACCAATTTAATTATATAAAACCCAGTTATTCGTTATTCCAACTGATTCAATTAAACAATTAGATTCATTCAATTAATTTAATCTACCTGTAGTTGGCAATACAGTTGGCCATCACCAAAACCGTCTATGGTCGGTTTGTTTACTTTTCTGGCAAAATGGATTGAATAGAATAGAATAGAATAGAAAATCATTTATTCGACGAAGGCAAATACATAAAAAAGTAAACAGTTAAAAAAACATGAAACAAAAAAATAAAAATATAAAAAAGAAACAGAGTAAAAATCATTGGATTGGAACTTGGACTATATTTTGGACTATACTTAGGACTCTTCAGCGTCCACTGAGGGACGGTACGGACCACTTTGGGAAACTATGGTTTAATACCTACCTAAGTTTAGTGCAAGTAAGAACATTATAATAATTTTTAATATCTCACCAGAAGCTATGAGCGGTGATGAGTATGGCAACAACAGAATCCAGTATCTTGTTGGGCATGATCAGCGCAGCAGGGATGGCGCCTAACATCACTGCCGTTACCGCCCTCTCGATCACCCACAACCGTGAATGATCATGGGCGTGTTCAGCTGCACAATGAACTGGTGTGGTTTTGAATTCACGCACCTGATCAGGTAGAGGACTAGAGTCAATTGGAAGAATCATAACTCAATATTATTTTTTTATAACTATTAATATAAAGATCGAACACTTAGAAAAAGTTCCTTCGATCCGGCCGGATTCGAACCGACGTCTCCTAGCAAACCGTGGCAGACGCTATGCCAACTAAACAACGGAACGAACCAGCGGACCTCGCGAATTTTGAATAAGAATGAGAAATCTATGAAAGTATTTCGTCACCCAGTTGGATACCTTTACAGCCACCAGCCCTGACTAGAGATGTCGCTATCAATTGTAATGAATATTCAATTATTATTGTGAAATTACTCCACTAGTTGTTTTGTTAATACAAAGATCGAATACTTAGAAACAATTCCTGCGATCCGATGATCCGGATTCGAACCGACGTAAGCTATCAATATTATTTGTCGTAGTGTTGCACCTCACTCACCAGCACGCTACAGCAGTGCGTCAATTCTAAATATATTTTGTTTCATTGATAAATAGATAGATTAAATAATACGTTTGACTTACCATGCAATATAACAACATACTTATATAAAACAGAAATTAAAATTAACAATGAAAACAAAAAAAAACCTAATCAAAAAGCAAGCTTCTCCGTCGAAGGCCATACGAACCACTCATAATATACATGCTGTGCTGAAGGCTGCTGCTAAGTGGGATCTTAAGAATTAATCATTTTAATAGTATTCACTAATAATTACGATACAGGGTTTCCCCAGTGCGGGAATATGAATTTATGCATTAAAAAAGAAATTATTAATCTTCCTTTTTAAAGAAAACAATCGTTTTTAGATAGATAAAAGGACACTTACACAACAAATTAAATTACTAAATTTGATTTTAATCCTAAAATCATACACCTATATTGCGAAAGTCCAAATTGAACTGCTAGATAGTCTGCCAAGTAACAATATGTATGTGTGTAAACTTTTTATTGTAAGTACAACAAAACAAACTGCAAATTTTAACAAAGAATTTAATTGTTGGTGTACATACAAAGGCGAGCTTTTAAATAATTGAAAAGAAAGGCTCCTGGGTTGGCAATTAAATTTAACAAATAATGAAACTGAATGCTACATACTCAATAATTACAAGAATAGATTTATTATGTTGTATGTACATATGAATACATATAAAATGTATATTAAAATGAAAGTACAATATAATAAAATAATATACGTATATAATAATAGAGCTTGTCTACATTCAACATACTTCTCTCTTCTCTTTATCTCTTTGGGATAAAGACTCCATGCTCTAAATTATTCCCTTATTTATTCACTTATTTTCCCTTATTAATTTTGGTGAAAAGTAATCAGTCTTTCCCGGATGCACTATAAAGTTTAGTTAGTTTAGCACAAATCTAGCTAGATAAGTATCTAAGTAATGTTACAAGCGACCTACTATTGATCCAAACGTAATGATAATAGGCAGATGTGCAAAGTAGCTATTAAATCGATTGTACTGCATTTATTCCTGCTTGTAATATAGTATAGTGGAATGCAACATTTTAAAAGCATATATAAACAAATTACTTACTGCGTTTAATGTTGGGGTATTCTTGGATTCCTTGAGGCTAATGCAGGAGGCTGGTAGCGTGTTGGTAAGAGTGCGCTGCGCCAACGCAGGCTGTAGAGCCAGCCGGCGCACATGTTGCGAGATCAAACGGCTCGCGCATGCTAGAGACAACCGAAAATAGAATAGACATTAATTGCAATGCTACCAGGCATAAATACAAAAAAAATATATTGATAACACTAAAAAATAAAAAGAATTAATAAATGAAATAAAAAAATACAAAAAACAACATAAAATAGGACCAAAAAACAAAAACCTCAAACTACAAATGTTGTACTGTCATTTGTGTGGTGTACGCAAACGGACTTCATTTAGCTTATGCCACAGTCATAATTTTACCGTGGTGCTGGTTTTCAATGAGCCCTGACAAGAAATAATAAACAGGGTATCAACAAAGCGAATGCCAAAACCTAAAAATTTAATTCTGAACTTATTTTACAATGATTGAATACCTGTTATTCCAGAGCAGTTAAAAACTCAAATATTTTTGCTATTGTTCATTTAACCACACAATAAGTTATTCAATGTATAATTTCAAAAGTTAACATTTGGTTTTGGTGTGTAAAATGGCTAGCTTTCTTAAGAGTTCAAGAATTAACCACACACTCTACCATACTAAAACACATGTTGACACTCAATTGTACCTTTCCACGTCTAACATGTATTTGTACTATATTACAGGATTTAAAGTAATTTCTTTAAGAGAAAAAGTCATAACTCTTAATTTTACTTTCTAGTTTTACCGAAGTAAGTAACTAAAGCACTTAAAAAATGACAATACCACAAATGCCCAGACCTGAGACAACATAGAAAAGTCAGTTTTTCTACATTACCCGACACTGCGACGACGGCGACACTATGAAAACTGGTGTGTAAGCCCAGAGGACAAAGCACAGAGGATAGTAGACACAATATTAAAATTGATAAGTAATTTTTTTACACTAAATACCTAATGAACGTGTCACCACCGTTACCTACTAATTACTACAACAAACTGAATAGTGATGATGCACATCAAGAATAAACAAGTTATGGAAAAAAACAGTTATACGTACAACTAAATGTTTGATAAAATAATTCATATAAAATAAAAAAAATTTCAATTTGACGTCACCAAAAAAGTACATTAATTTCAGTTACAAAATATTTAATAGTACGAGTGAATAAACATTATCAACATAACCTCAACCAATATTTGCGTGTCCGCCCAAATGACATGCTAAAACTTTAGTTTAAAGCTTATAGTTCTATAACAATAGTTTGAAAAATGTATTTGCAGTAATAGTTTCATTGAAATGGACGTACAACACGCACTTTTACGTAAACAATACATTTATTATGTAATGACAAATACGACACGTTCTAGCCACTGAATCATACCTGGAGTGCGCAAGAACATTGATAATGCCATATTAATGTAATTTTCACAAAACACTTGGCAATAAACTCAAAATTGGAAAAAAGTATTTGGATCAAGAAATTCAATTTCCAAAATTCGAAACCAGTAAAAATTCTGAAATGTCAAAATATCCCTATTTTTTCCCAATTTTCGTGCTGTGGATAACGTGTAACTGAAAATATAAGCGAAGCTTTTTATAAATCTATCTATCTTACTTTCATTACATCGTAAACTATCTATCGAAAAAAGCACAGCCGCGTTCCAGTTTTGCCACTTACGGAATTAGACTTATACCAAATTTTTAAACAATCGATTGGTTAATATTGCATGTTGCAAGACGTTACAGCTTTTACAGAGTTTACTTTATATATACGTGTACTTTATGTGAAGATTGTAAATGCTGATTATAAGTTATAAAATTTTAAAAAGTCTATTTCAAACATTGACTTACAATTATAATTTCAAGCAACTCTTAACTATTCGATTTTCTGCATACTACAAACGCATTCACTTCTGGTTTATATGGCAACTTTTAAATGTTGCTGCTATAAGAATTGCTTGTATACGTAGAATCAAAAATGATTCATTTAAATAACATAAAATCAGTTAATACATTGAAATTTGAAAACAAAATAAAATAAGAGAAATCTGAAGTAAAAACAACAATTTTTTTGTAACATGCTATTTGAAAAATAAAACAAAAAATCTGGAATAATTGCAGTTGATCCACAACACCGATTTATGAATAGTGGTTACTCAAGGATTAATCGGCAACACATAGTAGAATGACAATTCATTTTAATGAAATTGTTTGCAGATTTCCAAATTGTTTTTATCGATAAATCTCAATAAATACCTAGTAATTTTCACAGTTAACTAGAATTATATTACAATGGCGACAACTTTAGAAGACAAATCAATCTGGGAAGATGGGGAAGAAGCTTTGAGTGAGGAAGTTCTCCGCATGCCAACGGATGAGATTATCAGCCGAACAAGACTCCTAGACAATGAAATAAAGATCATGAAGAGTGAAGTGATGAGGATTTCCCACGAACTGCAAGCACAGAATGAGAAAATCAGAGAGAACACTGAGAAAATCAAAGTAAACAAAACCTTACCGTACTTGGTTTCCAACGTGATAGAGCTCTTAGATGTCGATCCTCAAGAAGAGGAAGAAGACGGGGCTGTTGTGGACCTGGACTCACAGCGTAAAGGCAAGTGCGCCGTCATCAAAACTTCCACCAGGCAGACATATTTCTTGCCAGTCATTGGTTTGGTTGACGCTGAGAAATTGAAGCCTGGAGACCTTGTGGGGGTGAACAAGGACTCTTATCTGATCCTGGAGACGCTGCCGGCGGAGTATGACGCCAGGGTGAAGGCTATGGAAGTGGATGAGAGACCCACAGAGCAATATTCTGACATTGGTGGACTGGACAAACAAATTCAGGTTAGTATTTTTATATTTGTTGTAACTTTATCTCAGTCACTACAATGAATGACCTTGGCGACCCAGCTGTTTGCTATGTGGCTGCTGGTTGAGAAGGTACTGGATTCAATTCCCGTAGTGTGCAAAGTCAATGCTATGGGTCTGGTAATCATATTAGAGGCAATCCATAGTTTGAAACCAGGTTCTTGGTGTTAGTTATATCTAGTTACTTATCCATTAAATCAGGATTCCCAAATTTATTGTGTCTACTGCCCACTTTGAGAATAAATTATTTTTTAGCGCCCCCATTTTTTCACCTACTTAAAAACCACAATAACTTCAAATTAAATTAATTATTGTGTGCTATATTAGCGGAGATTAAACATTCATTCTAAACGAAACTTTTACTATAACCCGTAAGAGTTAACTTGAGACCTGAGCGCAGTAGGTAGTACACAACGGCGCTCAGGTCTCAAGTTAACTCTTACGGGCTACATGTGACAATGAGAATGATTATTGAAATGCAATTTTTTAGTATTCAGACAGAGTATCTTTTATTCAAAATAAAACAAACAATCAATTATAATATAAAAACTAATGTGAAGGATGAATCCAATGCTGTTTAATAAGTTTGTTGATATCAGGTTCCAACTCAAGAACGACCGCAAGTCACCACTTTCAGTAACATGCAAACAATTCCTTTTTTTAGTTTTATAAACATGATTGACGAAATTCCACTTACGCCTTTCTTCCATGAGGGGTGTGTAAATGGTGACTTAACTTGTTTACTTTAACATACAATTAGTAGAAACAGGGGTTTGAATAGTAACTGAACCTGAGAGACAGAATGTGTTTGTCGAAAGACTGTCTTTTGCAGTACTCAATTAGTCGGCAGAATTTGTAAATGCAACCTATAGTCAAAGTAACGGGTTTTATATACACTATGGAATTACCCATATTTATGGTACATTTATAACAATTTTTGAAAAACATTGCAAGGTGAACTAAAAGAGACACAAAATTGATTCAATAACTTAACTAAGTTGTTAAATGTATGTCTTCATCTCAACCCAAGTTGAAATTGATAAGAAATAAACTTTTCTAGTGCTCTTTGTATAAATTCCTACAAATAATAATATAAGTAATAATATAATATAATAATATAAGTTCCATTTAACCAGAAATGTATAACAAGATATATCTATTCTTATTCTAGGAACTCATCGAAGCAGTAGTCCTGCCCATGACACACAAGGAGAAGTTTGTAAACCTCGGCATTCACCCACCCAAGGGCGTGTTGCTGTATGGTCCTCCAGGAACAGGCAAGACCTTGCTAGCCAGGGCATGTGCAGCACAAACCAAGTCCACCTTCTTAAAGCTTGCTGGACCTCAATTAGTGCAGATGTTTATTGGTAAGAGAATGATGTCAAGATTGAAGAACACACTGAAAATTTATGCACTGAAGATTAGTCATGCCTGGAATTGTACAAAATTTATAATCTCTCTACAGAGTACTAAACAAACTGACCTCAAAAAACATTAATCCCCTAGTTTGCCACCCTTAGAGGTGGAATATTTTCTTCAAATTAAAATGGGACCACCACTGGGTACCCTCTTTCCAACAAAAACGAATCATCGAAATCACTTATTGCATAACATACACACAAAAAAAACAGTTCGATTGAGAAGTTCATCCTTTTTTTGAAGTCGGTTAAAAAGTACCCTTTTCGTTTTATCGTACTTGATAAAATAATAATGTTACGTTATTCCAAATATAATTAGCAAGAGCTTAGTGACTAAAACCTATGATTTCAAAGTATCATTTCTCAGTCCAATTCCGCTAGTGACTACTTCTGGAAGTTCCCGTGTATAGGAATGACTGCTCTGGAAATGTCTTATGTCTCAGGGTGTCGGGCGCAGTGCCAATGCTCCTCAGATCTTTGTGATTTAAAGCTCTGAGTGGCACTGCCACCAGGCACACGACTTGTTCGTCCCATAACTTAGTATTATAAAAAAGTATCTTTACAGCTTTAAGCGAGAGACTGACCTGTGTTACAGATATTTCTTTTTAAGCAAGTAAGCTATAAACAATGCCGTGACAAGTCAAGGTTGTTGAAGTGTCTATGATATTTAAAATGCACTAACTAATACATATATCTTTATCCACAGGTGATGGCGCGAAGCTGGTTCGTGACGCCTTCGCCCTAGCTAAAGAGAAAGCACCTGCAATAATCTTCATTGACGAGCTGGATGCAATTGGCACCAAACGATTTGACTCTGAGAAGGCTGGAGATCGAGAAGTGCAGAGAACTATGTTGGAGTTACTCAATCAACTGGATGGATTCACTTCTACTGCTGATATTAAGGTATTATAAATGGCATATACCAGAGGCAATGGTACTGCTATATTTTGGAATGTATTATTGATGTTCCCTTGTTACTTACGTAAAGTTTCGGGCCCTTTTCAGTCGGTTTTAACGTCGGTTTGTTTGAAAAAACAAATATACGCGATTTAAATCCGGAAAAATAGTTTCATTTCCTATAAAAAATATTTTTCAATAAATATAATTTTTAATTTCTTATAAAAAGCGTACAAAATCTTTGAAAAGTTAACATCAATAACTACATAAAAAACTTTTGAAGAACAGAAGAAGAAAGATATATTTCGACGCCTTACTTTCTGAAACTCGTATCTTCTAAAGAGTGGTTATTCAGGAGATGGCAAAACTTTCCATTTATACTAAATTTTTTATCAAGGGTGTTAAATTGGCTGCTTTGAGAATAGGTAAAAACCAGCGTGTGAATATGAAGGAAATGTGATGTGAAATAGGCCTGCAAATTTATATATACAATCATTGGCTTACAAATAAATGGACGACGGGTCTAATACAAAAACCACGAAAAAAATGTCCCAAGTCAACCTATTTAAGCGTAGTGACATGTAAAGGAATATGAAAAAGCTAAAACGTTGACTTTAAATTGTAATGTCATCGCAGTACTGTCTAATTTTGCTTTCTTCGCTGTCAGTCGAACAAACGAAGACTAAAGCTTGAATGACGCTCTGTATACGATTTTAACGCCCTATAAATTCGGACACTTTTTAGCGTGGACCCGACGTCCATTTATTTGTAAGTCTAATTTATTTGTAAGTTTAAATGTATACAATGCATTTTTTGCATTCCAGTAACTTAGTGCTTCAAGATACGAATTTGAGAAAGTAAGGCGACGAAAAAGGAAAATAAATATAGTGTACATTTTATTATTAATATTGTCTGCAACAGATTGCTTTGTAGCAATTAGGACTATTTATGTATTTCAGTTATAATTTATTTTGTCTTTAACACTCAACCTTTGACCAATTTGTCAGGTGATCGCAGCCACGAACAGAGTCGACATTCTGGACCCCGCGCTGCTTCGGTCAGGGCGTCTGGACAGAAAAATCGAGTTTCCACATCCCAATGAGGAAGCGAGAGCTAGGATCATGCAGATTCACTCACGGTATAGCAATATAAAATGCTAATCGAATTTCTTTGCTTTTTTTACGTCTGTCGAAAAGCTGTTGTTCCCCTAATCAGCCGTGAAATCATAAGAAAACAACGTTAAAACAATAATGATCTGTGTGTAGAAAATCCTTACACATTTTTCACCCCTGGCACTCTGGTTCAAACTTTTACTTATCCCGGTTTCTGAGCAATAAAAAATGTTAATTTTTTTTAAATCACTTTATTGTAGTGGTGTATATTTATTTTATAACCCTCTTATCATTTGTACAGTAAAATGAACGTAAGCCCAGACGTAAACTTCGAAGAGCTCTCCCGTTCAACTGACGATTTCAACGGGGCCCAGTGCAAGGCAGTGTGCGTGGAAGCCGGCATGATTGCCCTTCGACGCTCGGCCTCCGCCGTCACGCACGAAGACTTCATGGATGCTATCCTTGAAGTACAGGCCAAGAAGAAGGCCAACCTCTCTTATTATGCCTAGTACAATGTGCAAGTTAACTTTGTATATCTTATTTTTAGAAGTGTACCAATAAAACTCTAATGATTATTAATTTTCTTCGTTTTAATTATTATTTATCGTACCGTATGTGACAGATTAATTTAAATTGTAGAACGTCAGCTCTAGAAACTGAGTCCACACCAAACTGAGGTTTGGCTGGTACAATCAAGTCACAAAATATGAAAAATGAGATCCCGTTCCGCAGAGGACCTTCGAGGATGGAAGAAAATAAAGGTTGGTTTCCATATTCTAACTAAGCAATGGACCAAGGACAACCTAATTTTATATTAAATGCATTCTTCTACGTGCTGCCATTTAAATTTGAACGCAACCATTAAAAAGCAGCTGATGCTAATGTTACCATAAAAATATTTTTCCCGCAAGTATTGCATTGAGCAACAATAACCACGTATGTAAAAAAAAACAGTCGATTATAATGACATTAATTTCGTTCGTGTATGTAACTGTGGTAAGGCTACTATTGGGTAATATTCCGAAACATTTCAAATAGTGGACATTTTTCCGGAAAATTCCCGAAAAATGCTCCCATTATGTTCTACGTTTAAAAATATGTTTTGTTGTTATATTTAGCGTGAATTATAAAATAAACTTGTATAGCTAAAAGCCACATAAAGAAAAACGAAATTTCAAATGATTTTTGAACAGCGAAAAAGCCTTTTTATTAGCGCCATCGTTTTTGTTTCGCAATTTTTTCATCTCTTGACAGGTGTCAACGTCAAATTTAGAAAATTAAAGGACAGATATTGGAAAAGCATCCGGAAAAATATTATTTTTTCAAAATGGAAATTTTTCCATAACTCAACACTAGGTGCAGCTCTCATTCTGTCTAATTATAATTGTATTTAATATTTGAGTACAACGAATTTTCAGTATTATCACCCACAACAATAACAGTGTTTATGTCTAGGATTTTGATCTTTAAAAACATGACCGGGAAACTATAAGAAAATGGCAACTTACTACCATATGGGGTGTGAAAAAAAATAACAAATTTGAAAAAAATGGGAAAATGGATCTGTCAAAATTAGAAGTGAGTCGAGTTTTGGATAGAAATAAACAGAAAAGTGAAAAACATGTAAATTTTTTTGTTAATTAAATTCTTCGTCCGAAGCTAGCCGGGGAAGCAATTGACCCTCTAGTCGTGAGTAGAATGCTTTATTTTGTTAATTTTTGTCCTTAAACATTGTGTGCAATATTTTATGAACAAACGCCGCATAAAGATATCGATTTGTGTTATTAAGGTGAATATTGCGGTGTCAAAACCGCGGCAAAAACGAATACTGAATACGAGGCGAGTAACGATGACAATAATTTGTGTTCTCCAATAGGACATCTCGAATTCTCACCCATTTGATATTAAGCCTGAATCAGTGTTAAGATATTTGCCGCGATATTTTTCGCGAAGATTTTGTGTTGTCGGCTTAAAGCTTGGACTTCAGTGGCTGGCGGCATGACTGTCTTGTCGCAGTGGCCTTTTGTATTTTCTCTTTGTATTATAAAATATATTTAAAATTATACACATATATTTAGGTACATATCTTTCCCTTTCTATCTTAAACTTTATAGTCCCTTTAGATAGCAACACATTATTTTCAATATCCTCATATGAAACAATACTTAATTAGTTTCTTAACTTAATTTACACTTTCAAATACACGGTAAATGAATATTGAAAACATTGTAAACTTTTTAAATATAAAAAATGTATTTATCTTAGTATACTAATGCATATTTCTAATTATCTATTAGCTTTAAAAAATCAATGGTTTTAAGTGGAATGGTGTCAGTATTCCAATTTCTTTTTTCATAATTTAAATCCAGATTAAAAATTTTACATTTTGAATGACAATTTTCAGAATTCTTTTTAAATTGTCATTTCACTTAATTGTCTTATTAAAATTGCATATATAAAAAAACTATTTTATTGCATCACTACAGACATTATTAACAAATCTGTTTTGATATTTCGAAAATCTGTTACACATATACTTAAAATGATATAAATATTAATACTCCACATTGTATTAACAACCAGCTTTCAAATTTTGCATTACAAAGTCACTTACACTATTATAAATATATGAATTTGTTTTTATCACTTGTTCAAAGGTCCTATAACATCTAAATATGCAAATCTAACTGTTTAACATAACATAATGTACTTTTAATGCCAGTGTTGGTGACTGTGTTTTCCCAGGTCCAGAAATGGCAATTCCCTGGTTATTTCATTAAATGGGAAACAGAAACCCTACTCAATGATAATTCACCAATTCACATTAAACACTTTGTTATGCACGAAATTGTTTACAAACCTCCCAAGTACACTTACTCAATTATAATTATTTTCTAAGTGAATTAAGACCTAAGTTGTTGCATATTTATTTACTATTTATATTTTCGGTTTAACACTATAATATGTAATAAGGAAAATAATGTTTGTTGCAATCTTGCGTAAAGCACCATGGAGGAGGAGGAGGAGGCGCTCGCGCGCAAGGGCAAGGTACCCCCGGACCTTCCCAGAGTCCACTCTTTTAGCAAACAGACCCGCCCATACACCAGGTTCAACACTTGTATCTATTTAATTATTTATTTTACCCTTATTTACTCTTTATCTCTCATTATATTCACTTTGTAACTTAAATTAATTCTGTTATGCATATAGAATCTAAAGACTTCAGATACACTAGTGTCTCATAAAAATGTTTTATTGTAAGTTCTCTTGCACTACCAATGAACAAGAGATTTAGTAAAATATTTTTAAGAGACACACATACTATAATGACGGTACACATGTAGTATTATGAATATTGTTACTTTTCATTTAGAATCACATCACTACACTTTAATTATTTATTTTTAATCTTTACTCTATAAAATTAATACTTCGTAGTGCTACTTTTTGCTGCTTGCTTTCATAATGACAAGCTGTGAAATAACCAATTTTTTTTTATAACACAATATAATACAAAATAGTAACATTTATATTTAAATAAATAATAATTGTCCATAAACTAACAATTAATTTAAGAGGGAGCAGAGGAAAAATTCCTAGTCTTCGATTTGATTTTAGAGGGGTATATCCACTTTAAAGTTAAAAATAAAATATTGTATGAGTAACTACACGATATATTCAAGCATAGACATTAATCAGAAACATAAAACAATAAAGTTTCCTCGATAGATAAAAATCACGAAATGACCTCTAATTTTCAAATTTTTTCGATTTATCCTCGAAATGCTACAGGTTATTAGGACAAAAATTAGATAATTAATTATATTTATGCATGATCGACAACTGTCACTACGGATTTTTTTTAATCCCTTTAGTTTTAGAGTTATTCCGCTAAAACGAATTTGGTACTTTTAATGCGCAAAATTCAACATCTACTGTCGCATGTCACCGCGAACCTCAGGCATATATTTGTTTCACAAATTTGGGCGGAGCCAACGTCAAAACTTTCTTGGCATGCTCCCTCTTAACATGTTAATTTCACCAGCACCCTTACCCTTAAAAACCAGAATGCACACATTACTGCTTGGCGACAGAAATCGGTAAGGTGGCAGTCCTTCTGTGGAAGAACGCTTTCATAAGGAGCTTGACTGCTATTGATAAATAATAATTAGCCATAAATTAACAACTACCTTTTTATCGCATTTTCTCTGAGTCCTGGCCACTCGTTTTTAAATTTTGAATCGTTCTTTAATTCTCCTTGTCTCGCCATTCTGTTTTTATTTCATTCCATAGTCACTCCCTGCCGTCCACGAACGCGTCGTCTCGTTTTTTTGAACCGTTTGACAGTTACCAAAAATCTCTTCTGCGAAAAACAAAATATTTATAAAACTGGATTTATTACCACTGTTCTTTACCCTTTTGAATTTTGAACTTTAAACTTACTAGGCAAGATGTATGGAGGCTGCGGGCTACTACTCTCCTGGCTACATTACAATCCACCAGCGCCAGCAGCGCGTTTTCAGTACTTTTTTCAATCTTTGTACAAAAAAATTAAAAATTCAAAAATGCGTATATTTTGTTTTTTCAAACCAACGTTTCGGGCCCTTTACAGTGCCTCTACCATGAGTTTACTTTGACTGTTCTCGCTAGCGACAGCGTAAAATATTTGTATACAAAATGTTCCTTCTCGTAACCACAATGGGCGCTGTATAATTTGTCATACAAAATCGTGAAGTAATTTACGCGGTCGCTAGCGACAACTATCATAGTAAACTCACAGGTAAACCTGACCTGTACAGAACCCAAGGCGTTGGTTTGTTTGAAAAAACAAATATATACGCGATTTAAATCCGGAAAAATAGTTTCATTTCTTATTATGCTTAAAATGCCAATCTTGTCAAATTTAACGCTACCAAAACGCAGGCGTGTCTATTCTCCACTAAACGGAGTCCCTTTGAGCTGACTCTGACTTTTCGTGATATATCCATACCGATAGCCGACCGTCTCCAGCTACTTTGAATGGACCTATCGTCCAATCTAAACTTCGGCAGATACATTGAATGCATGGCCAAAAATGCAGCCAGGAAGCTTGGCACCTACCAAGTTGAGGCGTTACTTCACACCGGGACAGTTGCTTCAGCTGTATCAAGCACAAGTCCGGTCGTGTATGAGTACTGTTGCCACCCTTGAGATGGCCCTGCTACATATCAACTGGCCACCTTGGATTCAATTGACAAGCGTGTCAAGAGACTTATAGGTGACTCGGAATTAGTAGAGGCGAAGCTACAGAGCCTTGAACACCGCCGTAAAGTTGCCTGCTTATGGGTATGTTACAGGATATATCACGGAGGGTGTGCGATGGAATTACACGATTTAATTCCGCCTTCCCCTTTCCATTATCTGGGGACTAGGCGTAGGCTTGGGTTCCACCCCTATGCTGTGGATATTCCAAAGATTCGCACGAAGCGTTACGCTTCCACGTTTATAGTGTGAACGCTATGGAATGGAATTGCCTGCCTGCAGCCTTGTTCCCTGAACGTTAGGTATAACTTGGACCTTTTCAAGGCGAGAGTGAATAGGCATTATCTAGGTGTGCATGCTCCATCGTCGACCTCATCGTCACCATCATCGTCATCATCATATCGTACATTAGAATAAAAAAAAATATAAAAAAATTTTTTTTTATTTTGTTAAATTTTTTTTGTGTTTTAGATTTTGTAATAAATAATTACACCGTAAATGTACTCGCGTGTCATTTATATTTAATATTAGGAGAGCTTATAATTAGTTTTTTCTTTTTAATTGATAACCAAACGGTTTTCTTTTCAAATTGCATGTAAAGGAACCTTCTTGAATGCTTTTTCTAGTCGCATAATGCAGCCAATCATTGCACGAGATTTAAACGTGTGGCGATGCGACCTCCTTCATCGTCATCCCACCTTTTTATCACCCTATGCTCTAGTTCCTGGCCACTTACTTTTGAAATTTTGAATCGTTCTCAAATTCTTCTTCATTATTTTTATATTGCTTCGTTCCGTCGTCACTCCCATCAAAATTCTCGAGGAGAAAAGACGTGTCCTTCAATCATGTAAACCTAACTGCTTATAAAGCAGCAATATTCGCACCCCTCGTGGAAGAATGGCATAAGTGGAATTACGTCAAACATGTTTATTACTCCTTACTTATTATTATTAATTAGATACAGAAAATGTAACCTACACAACCTCGCGCCATTTCGAAAAAAAATCTGGTGAGCATGGTTTTAGGTGTTAAACGACTGTTTATATTTAATAAAATATTTACGGCCTGTTTTAAAATGCAATTTAGGTTTTAAAATAGGACGTAAATATTATAAAACAGTCACCCTGAAAACATTTTCGATATGGCGCTTTCACCCTGTCTGCAAAACAACGACGATATGTACTAGCTACTTTTACATTTGTGGCACATGCTTTTCGTGTCTAGTTGATCAATGGCACAAACATAACACAGAAAAAAAATGTTTTTCTATGATATCAAGTGACGGGAAGAACAGGTCGTGCGCCTGATGGTAAACTACACGCCTGTGGATAACAGTTGCAGCATAGTAGAATAAGAATAAGTAGGGCAGTCCAATACCAAATAACAGCGCGGCTTGTATATGCGCGCAACCGTGTATGGACGCACATAATAATGAAATGCTCGTTGAG